CACATAAGTCCAGAAATCTCACCATAAACAACATTGTAGCAGGACAGTCCAGCAGCACTCCTTTTCCTGTCTCCTGCCTTCATTCACCACCCCCTTCCTTTTTAAACAGTCATCTACTCGGAGAGACAGCATGGCAGCAAATGGCATGTCATGACAAGCAGCCTGTATTCAGAAGACCAGAATGACAGGCACTCCAAGCATGAACCTACTATTACAAATTGCCATCTTCAGTGCAGTAGCTTAGTTCACGGGTGTCAGTATATATAGTTAGTCAGGGTGAGAATCATTCCAATTAACTGCTAGATTCAAAAATCTTCTGAAGATTCTCAGGATCATTGCCTTACCCATCTTGTACATATACTGTATGGCTTGCCTCTGTCATGTTTCCTAGCTCTTCTCCTTGTTGTCTCTTCATCGTCCATTTTCTGATCAGCAGTTGCAGCTAATGCGCATGCTGGTCACACAGCTTGTAGAGTCTGATTTCATTTTGCTCTTGAATTTCTTCATGGGTTCTGTTTCTTCAGTGGGACTTACGAGCTCTTGAGACCATTTCTTACTGTGTTTCTTGTATACAACATCTAGCGCTGACTTGAGGAAATGTGTAGACCACATTCATTCTCAGCAGTACTAGTGTGCATCTGTTCACTAGGATTTCTCACGTCTCCATATTTGTCCTGTTGGCTTTATTTCTGAGACTCAGGGGAGTCTCTTTCCTTGAGATCTAGGAGCCTATGCTCTCTTGTTAACTCCAGTTTTTCTTCCTTGTTTGATAATTTTTTGCCTCTTCCCATCTCTTGGTAATTACTGTCCTTTTTGACCGTACTTCCCCATAACATGTTTCATGCCTATCTGTCCTTCTAGACTGGAAGTCTAATCTCTGGTCACTGCATAGCCGGGATCTGATTCGTAGTAAGCCCTGTGACATACTGCAGACTTGCCAGTGCTGATTGCCTTCTGTCTTTTGGCTTAAATACTGCCTTTGCTTGAAGGATCAGAAACTAAAATGTTTCTGAAATTCTTATTTTTTACTAACTGTGCAAGAGAACAGAATTGTAGTTCTAACATGTGCCCTCCATTTGGTGTTTATTATATGTCGGTTAGGGGACCGCTTCCCCTCAGCCTACCCCACCATCTCCATCCCGACACTTCTCACACCAGTGTCTTTGTGGGGTACTTTAAATCTCTGGATGTGAAACAGTCGTTTACCCAAGTACTTGCATTTCTGCCCCTGCAGCTGATGGTAGTGGTTGGGGGCCAAGCCCCAAAGGCAATCCGAAGCGTGGAGTGCTACGACTTCAAAGAAGAGCGGTGGCACCAGGTGGCAGAGCTGCCTTCGCGGAGGTGCAGGGCAGGTAAGCCTGATGCGCCACAGCTGTCCCCTCACTGCTAGGTCTGTAAGAGCTTCTCTCCCAGGTCTGTCTTATTCATTAGAAGAATGTCTGTTAGATAAACATAGATTGATGAACTCTGTCGTTAAACAGTGATTCAGGGCCCTCAAAAAACTCACAAAAGAGCACCAGTGTTCTGTCTGCATCTTTACACGTCTCTGTGATTTTCTGATAGAAGCTGATGGAGTTGCATATTTGCTGTACGTTATCCTCATCACCCTCCCTGAAATGTTGGAAGGGGAGTTCTTTAGCTTAGGACATTACTTCCATGTATATGACTCAGCTGTAAGCCACAGTTACTTTCACTTAGGCATCCGGTTTACAAATATTTGCTCAAATGGGCTCTTATTTAGCCAAAACTGTAATCAGAAGAGGCAGTTGCAAATGTTCAGACTCCTGGAACTTGGATCCTAATTCCTACCCCCTTAGCACAGTGGGTTGTAAGTGTTGTGCAGTGGTGGGGCTGCCGTGGGAGCGCTTAGCAGGACGCTGCGGAGACTTCGTGCCAGCAGAGCTAGAGCGGCCCCTCTCCAGGACTTGTGCAGGCAGGAGTGTAGCTTGTGAGCACTTGGCTGGAACCACACCCAGTCAGCATCAGCAGGGGCAGACGCCTTGCCAGTGTTTCATTGTGGCTAGATGGGATCTATTTTCCTACGTTGGTGGGGGGTTTTCCTATTGAGTCACACTCCTAGCTCCCTAGTTTTTAATTAGACATTAAAACTGCTTTTAATTTTGTTACTATAAGCAGCTACAGTTAATTTGTTATACACACATTATTGTGCACTTGTGATTATACGTTCTTATAAATGAATAGCATCGTTAGGGCCTACTCAGTCAGGAGTTCCTGAGAGTGACATATCCAGGCAGCAGCCATAGCCAGGCAGGAGGCTGCCATCAGGGAGCGGGAGGAGCTGGCTCTCAGTCATCAGTAAGTGCTGCGCCCTTTTTGCAGGGATGGTCTACATGGCTGGGCTTGTTTTTGCTGTTGGTGGCTTTAATGGCTCCCTAAGAGTTCGCACTGTGGATTCCTACGACCCTGTGAAGGACCAGTGGACGAGCGTGGCTAACATGCGGGATCGGAGGAGCACTTTGGGAGCTGCTGTGCTGAATGGATTGCTGTATGCGGTGGGAGGCTTTGATGGGAGTACAGGTAACGTCTTCCTGTCCTTCTATCATTTCTGTTACAATAAGGACCCATAGCACATGGGCAGGTGCGTGCGTGTGTGTGTGTGTGTGTGTGTGTGTGTGTGTGTGTGTGACGGGATGGAACCCAGAGCCTCACACCAGTTAGGCAAACACTGTACCCCTGAGCTACATTCCCTGTCTCACATTGGGTGTGTTAAGAGTCTTTATATTGCAAGAATTTCTTTAAGAGGTTGTAGAGTGCTGAGTGCATAAATTTCTGTCTCATGCATCAGTGCCGGTCTCCTTACCAAGTTTTACAAGCTTATGAGCAATTGTAGCTTGGATAAGAGCCCTCTATGGGAAAGCAGCTATTTGTATTTATCATGGACTCGGCATGCTTACATTCCATTGTTTTCTTTCAATTTTAGCCCAGTGTAACATACCTGAAGAACTTTGCCCTAACAATATCTATATGAAAAGACAACTCAGCATTTTAGAGGAGTAAGTGAAGAGTGTTGTTCTTTATTCTAGGCCTATCTTCTGTGGAAGCATATAACATAAAGTCTAATGAGTGGTTTCATGTAGCTCCAATGAACACTCGAAGAAGCAGCGTGGGTGTAGGCGTTGTTGGAGGTGGGTGTGGCTGGATGGGTGTGACTTGGGGTGGGTGCAGCTGGGAAGTGGGTGTGGCTGGAAGTGGGTGCCAGTGCATCTCCCAGGTGGGCATTAAGGGGCACTGGTGGCTCCTTGATTCTGGAGCATTGTTCTTACAGTCACCTGACAACTCCTAAGTGTAAAGTAAGTTAAAAATGTAGTAATTACTAAAAATTATCCTCATATTGATAGCTTGCCTATATAAATTTACCGTTGAAGGCCTTTACCTCCCTGTCTCCGTTACTTTTCTCATTGCTGAAACAAAATACCTGACATCTAGAATTAAGGAAAGAAAAGTTTATTTAGCTCATAGCTAGTGGGTTGCAGTCCGTACCTGACTCCAAGGCAGGGTGGCACATGGCAGAGGTCAGGAGTTTCTTGCAGCAGAAGACAGGAACTGTGGCGCAAAGGGAGGCACAGCGGCTGTGGCAGCAGCTAGCCCTGTTCCCCTCCTTACATTGTAATGCAGATTGCCCACCCCAGGGCAGGTGTAGCACTCACACCTGTAGACGCAGCACTGGGTCGTAAATTAATCACAAACTCTAGAAGCAGCCCCGTGACTGCACAAGGCTTTGAGGGGACAACTAGATACAAGGCATAGCACTCCCTCTCTGTCCTCCGGTCCTCTCTGCCCACTCGTGTGTGAGTGTGCCTGAGAGAGACCTGTACAAAATGGTCCATTGCTCTTGATACAGTTGTTTGGGATAGAAATCTGGTGACATATGGTGTCTTATAGCTGGAGAAGGGTTTTAACATTTAATGGATGGGTTGTCATAGTTATTTATCTGCATCCTAATTTGTTTCCCCAACCGAATTTAAGGAAAGCTATAAATATTATTTGGTGTGATTTTTTTCTTTTAAATACTGGCTTAGACAAATATGTGGATTTCCATCTAGGTATAGTAGCACAACCTTGTAGTCCCAGTACTCTGGGAGGCTGAGACAGGAAGATTGCTGAGCTCAAGGTCAGCCTGAGCTAATTAGGAGGTGCTGTCTCAAACAGTAAAAACAAAAAACAAAAACAGTGTACAGCTTTACTGATGTGTATGCAGTTTATACATTTAACATAGCCCCATGTGCATCTATGTCTAAAATTAATTTTGGAACATTCTCATCACCTTGCAGGAGCAGTCCTCTGCCCCTAGGGTGCTCCCCGCTCTCTCCAGCCTCCGTCCTCACTGATCTGTCACTGTGCTTCTTCTTGCTTTTGGACCTTCCCTGTAATCATACAGTATGGAATCAGGCAAAATGTGGGGCCTTGTCACGGGCTTCAGTCCATTGTGCTCTCAGGGCCGCTGATGCTGCAGCGTTTGTTAGTACTTTGTGTCTCCTTTGGTTTTTGTTTTATAAGACAGGGTTTTTCTGTGTAATCCAGGCTGGCCTTGAACTCACTTTGTAGCCCAGATTGGGCATAAACTCAAGGCCTCCTGGGTGCTGCCACACAGACCTGTGCTGCCCTCCCCAGAAGTACCTCATGTCTTTTTATCTTTTTTTTTTTTTTTTTTTTTTTTTTGCGGAACCAGGGATTGAACTCAGACCCTTGTGCTTGCCAGGGAAGTGCTTATTCTACTGAGCCATCTCCCCGGCCCCCCCTTTTTTTTCATGTCTTTTTATTACCAAATAACATTTCATAGCATTCTAATATTAACTCTTTATTTAACTTTTCTTCCAGTTTATTGTTTTGATATATTATTGTTTCCAGGATGATATTCCCTTTTCAGCTGTTATCTTAAGATATAAAAAATGTATTTTCTGTTCTATGAATCATGTTACTGATTAAAATATAAATAGCTTCACATCTTAATATGATGTGACCACTCCCCTGTCACCATTAGGAGGGCCTCATATATTTTATAAGAATCTGTGGCTTGAATCTGTGGGAAGGCAGCTGTTTTTCTTTATCATCGAAATAACATGCTTACATTTCACCATTTTCTTCTTTCAGTTTTAAGGCAGTGTAAAATACCTGGGCATGGTGGCGCATCAGTGTAGTCCCAGCACTTAGGCGGCTGAGGCAGGAGGATTGCTGTGAGTTCGAGGCTAGCCCAGGCTACATAGTGAGTGCAGGGCAACCTGAACTGGACAAGACCCTCTGTCAAAAATGGCAACAAAAAAGAATCTAGAACACTTAGAGTAAGCTCTGTTAACGTGGAGGAAAGTACACTGATGTTTCCTTATGTGGAAAAGTAGCATTTTATAACTCCGGCTTTCTTGGTGACTCCCCGCCAGGACTGCTGTATGCTGTTGGGGGCTACGATGGGGCGTCCCGCCAGTGTCTGAGCACCGTGGAATGCTACAATGCCACTGCCAACGAGTGGACCTACATCGCGGAGATGAGCACCCGGCGCAGCGGGGCAGGTGAGGGGGGCCCAGTGAGCTGTGAAACCTGAAAATGGTGGGGAAGACTGACGGGGGGGGGGGGGTCCCTGACGTCTCCTTAGAGAGCCCAAGTGGGAGGAGATGGCTTCAGCGGCCCAGCTAACATCTGAGTTACATAGGTAGTGAGTGAGGTATGGCCCCTTCTGCCCTTCCACAGAGTGAGATTTAATTTCTGAGCGCCAGTTTCATTTATATAATGTGTGTTACTTCATTTAGTTTTTTTGTTTTTATCATTTATTTGTGAACTTGCTTAATAATCAAGTCTTACACAACTGTGTGATCCAATACCCTGGGTTATTTTTGTTGTGAAAGTCACTTTCAAAAGGATTGTATTAAAGGACTTTTCCCTCTGTTTTACTAACATGTAATTTTTATTATTTAATCTTCTTTTTAAAGAATAGTTGTTACTGAGATCTTTGTCAGTTCATTTCCATACTTCAAACTGTGTGCTTGTATATGCTTTTTATTATTAATTAAAATTTTAGAAATTTTAATTGTAAGATGTTTGAATACCCCTTGCGTTCTCTCCATGCCTTGGCCCTGTTCTCTGCTCACTTGGCTGGTTGTGTTTTGTAGGTGTAGGTGTGTTAAACAACTTGTTATATGCTGTGGGCGGTCATGACGGCCCGTTAGTACGCAAAAGCGTTGAAGTCTATGATCCCACCACGAACTCGTGGAGACAGGTTGCAGACATGAACATGTGCAGAAGAAACGCAGGTACGACCAATAACGCGGCACCGATACTGAATGTCAAGGGGTGTTTCTGTTTTCATTCTGTCACTGTGTATCTACATTGTTTGTTTGGTTTCTTCCAATCTGGGTTTCCTTGAAGACTTTTAACTCTCTGAAGGCAGGAGCTTATGTAACAACCCATGGAAGGGCATGTTGACCACTAGTAGCTCACCCTTCGTGCTAGTCTAGTACCTCTGTTTGGGAATAAGTGTGGAGACAGACAAAGTGTGGAGCCCTTTATATTTGATACTTGGATTTATTCATTCTTCCCAGAAACATTTTTGAGTACTTCATGTCACCAGTAGAGCTTCCAGTTCTCAGGGAATTTGTTGGGTTGGGTAAAAGTGTATACCAGGTTTAAAAGTTAGTTGACTATCTGCTGCTGGAGGAGAACCCTAAAGAGGTAACCCTAAATTAATGCAGTTCAGAATTTCTAGAAAATGGGAAAAAACTAAAGCAGTAACCACAACAAATTTTTAAAGCCGGTTAGAATGGCAAGCACCTGTAATTCCAGCTATTGGGAAGCTGAGGCAGGAGGAAACCAGACTGAGCAATTTAATTAAACTCTGTCTTTAAAATAATATTAATAAGGTCTCGGGATGTAACTCAGTGGAACACCCCTATGTTCAGTCTCCAGTATTATAAAAATAATAATTTACAGAATGTATATGTCTTCAAGATTAGAGAACTAACTACAATGCTTGCCACTTAATGACCAGAATGGCTTTTGCTAAGTGCCTTGTTAGTTTGTTTTGTTATTATGCAAACATCATAGCACTTAACGTAGCAGACCTTCAGTGTTTCAGCACCTTTGTTACTATACACCTTCAGACACAGTATAACTATGAAGATCTGGAAGCCTCTGCCACCATGTACACAGCAGATGTGCCCAGCAGATCTGTGCGGTGGAGTGCATGCTAAAGTAACCATAGAAGATGTAGCCCGGTAAACGCTTGTCTTGGTTACTTTTCTTTCATTACTGGGACAGAATACCCAACACAGAATTGAGGAAAGAAAGGTTTATTCAGCTGACAGTTTGTAGAGGTTTCAGTCCATACTCGACTGGCTCCAAGGCCCGGTGGCACAGGGAAGAGGGCAGTAGTTCATGGTGGCAGGAAACAGCAAAACAACCAGAGCAAAAAAAGAGCAGCAGCAGTGACAGCAAGAGGCAGAGGGTTCAAGCCCTGGTTCTGCAAAAAAAGAGAAAGTTTCATATTTTGATTTGCAGAACAGTTAATTAACTTTATTTGATCATCATTAGGAAAGTATAAAAGTGGAGTCATTGGTTTGTTTCTCTTTCCCATTCAATTAAATATATATATATTCTATATTATCTGGGCAAATAATGAAATCTGAACAGGAATAAATAATGCAATTTACTTTTATAACTTCAAGGTACAATATAATACAAACACTTCTATATAAGCTAATAAGATAGTTTTTGTTTTTTTATTTTGCGGTACCAGGATTCGAACTCAGGACCTTGCGCTTACCAGGCAGGCGCTTACGCCACTGAGCTATATCCCCAGCCCCTAAGACAGTATTTTTAAAGTAATCCTCAATCCATATTTCTGATAATCTGAAACAAACTGTGGATATATGTCTGGTCCTTAGTATAGGTTAAAGCCCTCTAGCCACCTAAACTGAAGGAGAGGTGCTAAGCTGGGAAGGAGAGAGGAGCAGGTGTTCAGTTTTAAATGGAATGGTGGGAGCGTTATGTAAGCTTGCATTAGCAAGCGACGGATAAGTCATCTTTCAAAAGTTTTCTTAAGTGTGGTAAATTGTGACACGAGAGTGGAGGCAGGTGAAAAGTTATGACGTCAAGAATGAAGGAAAAGGGGCCGGGGTTATAGCTCGGTGGTACAGTGCCTGCTTGGTCAGCGCAAGTCCTGAGTGCAACTCCCAGCACCAGAACAAACAAACAACGAAGAAAAGATGTGAATGGGGTTGCAGGCAGCCTGATGGTCCTTAGCAGCCTGTCCCAGGTGTCCATTCATACTTGTGATGAAGCAGCCCGGTAGATAGACCGGAGCCATCTGACACTTAAGAAAGGGCATTGTTCTGGCAGAATTTGAGCTCCCATCTGTTTGAAAGGAATCTTGCTTCAAATTTGTGACTCAGAGAGCTGACATCTTTAATGTGCTGACAAGCGTGTGGAGACCAGCCTCATCGTCTGCGGCAGGACGTTCCTGCGTCTCTGGCATTTGTCTCTCGCAGTCCACTGAGCTGGCACACAGCTACAACTTCGGGGAGCGTGGTGGCAGCACTACTCTATTTGGTTCTTGCTTTCAGGTATTTGAACTACTTTAAAATGATATCAGCTTGCTCCCTGTGACAAGACTAGACTAGGAACACAGTGGAGACTGAAATAGAGAGGATCTGTTTTGAGTGCACTTCTAAGTGCTGGGTAGAAATTTGGACTCCTTAGCTTGTTAAAACAAATCTGTGGGAGGCCTGCCCATTAGCTCAGTTGTTTAAGTGCCTGCTTAAGGAAAGCAGTCAAGCTCAGGATGCTGTGGTTCGATCCCAGATCCTCACACCTTAGGGACCTGGCCTTAAGACATCCTGAGCTAGCCAAAAAAAAAAAAAAAAAATCCTGCAGAACTCTTAGGGCCAGCCAAATAGCTCAGCAGATTAAAGCTCTTGCAAGCAGGTGCAAGGGTCAGGGTTCTATCTCCGGCCTGCTGTGCCGTTCCCGCCCCCTGGGTGTGCTGAGAGGGCAATTGAGACTGGGTGTGGTGGGGTGCAACTGTAAACTGCTCTTGGGAGGCTGTAAACAGACAGATCACTACAAGTCTGATCTAGTACTGAGACCCTGAACACCCTGTAGACCCTTCCCTGAAATACAAAAAAGAAAAAAACCTGTGAACATCATTAATTAGGTTAAAAAAAACCCTGCAAAACTATGGACCTGGCTTAGGAGCTGCACCCTCTTGGATTCTTGATGTCCTTGGTTACCAGTTCCTAATGGTGCTGAACCTTCATTAGGACACTAAGTATACTTTAAACAAAAGTGAAATGAAGTGAAGGGCTTTCAGAGGTTTTGCAAAAAAAAGGTGTTTGTGTTTTGAGCAGTTTTCTTTCTAAAAATTTATACTGAGAATTGCACTGATATTAAAAAAATGATGCAGAGGGAGTCTTTGTTCATAATATTATTGGTAAAAACAAAAATCCTGAAAATAAGCAAATATCACAGTGAAAAAGATGAAATCATTAAAACATTAGACACATGATACATGGAATACTACACTGCCAAAGATGGTGAAGATTAATATTTATGAACCCTGGCAAGTAACCAAGGTATATTGTTTGTCAGGGCGGGTGTTAAATAGCACATAAAATATTAACTACTTTTGAGGTAAAAAATGAAGTGTACATATAGTCACAGAGAAATGTGAGTTATTCTAGAATTAAAGTAATGTTCTTTTAGAGGAAATAAAATAACTAATCATTTAATTTAAAACTTAGTATGAAAAGTATATTTTACTTTCTAATAATATATCTTTTCCTAAGAATTCCCTAAGGAAGTTGCCCTTGACTTTTAGTTTTCTATTTTTTAATAAAATGAAGATCAGTTAAGTTTCTAACCTATAAAGTAAGGTTGTTGTTAAGATTAACAGCGCATCTGAAAGGCAGCTGCTGCACAAATGCCGTGTAGTAGGCTCGAGAGTGAAACTGAGACCTTCACACGCAGGAGCTCGTTCCGTCTCGTTGTTGCCGCCTGCTCCTTGTCTTCTGTCCTACCTCCCCACACCCACAGAGGCGGCTCTGAGCATCCAAGGTTTTATACACTTGTTTTCTCTCTGCGTCACTTTTTAGGAGTCTGTGCAGTCAATGGTCTGTTGTATGTTGTTGGAGGGGATGACGGGTCCTGTAACTTGGCATCCGTAGAATATTATAACCCCACCACAGATAAGTGGACCGTCGTGTCTTCCTGTATGAGCACGGGGAGAAGCTATGCGGGTAAGAGTTGTCTCTTCTTGCTCTTCTGTAAGTCCAAAATATGTCATAATCAAGTTTTTTGTTATGAAAAGAAAATATTTTCTCAGAGTATGTGTATATCTTATTATTAAAGAATTTACATTGGTCAGGAAGCTGAGGCAGGAGGTTGTGAGTTTGAGACCAGCCTGGGCTATAACGGGAGCGCACGGCCAGCCTGAATTGCATAGTGAGATCCTGTCTCAAAAAGGCAAAAAAAATTTTTTTTTTCCATTGGATGTGTATAATCCAAAAGAAGACACCTGGATCCTTCGTCATTCTGTAGTCCTTTGCGATTAAAATCCCAAATCTTTACAGCAGAGAAGCACGTAAGACTTCACTGAGCCACTGTTCCGTAGGGCCAGGCTTCAGCTCTGCCTCTCCTGTGCCACCATCCCAGGGCCATGTCATCCTGAGGTGTGGGCTTTCTTAAGCATCCCATTGAGTTAGAAAAGAACCACTTTTGTCTGTTGTCTTAGTAAGATAAATGATAATTTTTTAAATAGATATAGAAAGATGAGGCTTTATTGTTCTGCAGTATTGGTATTTTTAAAGAATGTTTTTGTAGCAAAATTGATATTAACAATGCAGAAGAAACCTGTATTAATGCAGCATGATGTTTATGTGTCGTGTAAAGTAACACTTCAAAGGAGAACCATATGCAGCAGCGTTCCAGAGGAACATGGCTTGTCATTAGACAAATTTTGATTCTGTTGCCACCCTCAAGATAACGAGCATATCTATTGCCCCCTCTCAGCTTCTTCTGCCACACTGAGTATTAAGTGAATTTGGTATTTTCTGAGGAAAGTTATTTCCCTCCTCCTGGAATTATAAACAGCAAAGACTAGTGCTGGATTTAATGATCCTGGTTCATAACTGAATGGAGATTTGACTGTCATTTAGATTTAAATGGCAGCACTACTAAGCTGTAAGGAAGAGATTCTAAAATATGATTTGTTCAGCCGTATTGCTTTAATAATACAGAATTAAATATTTTCTCAGAGATGTAGACTGCTGTCCGTGATGCATTTTATTCCCTCGTTTCTCTGCCTAGGGGTCACAGTAATTGATAAGCCGTTATGAGCCCAGAGGACATTCGTGGCATATTTACACGTGAGAATCAGGCCTTGGCAGGTGTTTCTGAAGTGACTGAGAACCTGGCGCCTCACCACTTGCAGCTGCGCTTTCAGTCTCGGCAGAGGACGAGACCACCTGCCTTTCTAAGCCTCGGATTCTGAAGATTATTTTCGGTAGAAGCACCGTGTAGGGTTTTTCTGCAATGAGCAGCAGCTGACTGAATTTTCCTAAGAAGCCTGGACTGCAGCGCTTGCTCTGCGGCCCCAGCCAACAGTTGCTTTCCTACAGACTGGCTCCTGCCAGCCTTGAGTGACTGGATTATCGTGTGAAGGAGGATAAGAGTGTCCTTGTAAAATTAAAGTTTATCTTTATTCCTTCTCTTGAAAATCTGTGTTACCCAGGAACTGAGAATCTTGGAAAAGGTATTAAAATCTACGTAAGTATACAAAGTAGTTGAGGAATAAAACTGTTTGCTTTTTTAAATATCTTTGATTACATGAATATAATAAATCGTGTGCATATAAATGTGTGTCTATATGCTTTCCCTTAAACATGTTTGAAAAGATGTTTGGAACTTGATTATCCTATTTATAATGGCACAGTACTTTGAATTATGCCAGTACTACATTGTAAAACAGAGTTGTATTTTTTGATATTTAACAATGCTTAACACTTTAAAATGCCACTTCTGAGGAATGAAAATGGTGTGACACACTTGAATATGTGTGATGCCAAACTTTTTTAAATAAAATATAAATTATGCTTATTTATTATTTTCTTTAGTTTAATCTCGGTCATGTTTTGGTGTGTTTTTAATTTTTTTCTCAAGGTAACACTTTGGCATGACTATAACTGCAGGTTTTGATGACTATAATGAATGTATGGAATTCAACTGAATTTGCATGGTCTTAAGAGCTTTTCCTGTGTGTGTCCATTTAGCTGCTATTAACAGAAGAGGCAGCTTTCTGTGAGTAGCCACGTGTGGTGGTTGGTTAGTTTTTCTGAGATCTTCAAGTAATCTGACTTTAAAGATGACCAAAACATGTCTTTCTTGAATTATCTTTGAATAAAAATTTGTATACTATTTGTTTCAGCGTCCTTGCTTTTTTTTTTTTTTTTTTTATCTAGTTTGATATTAGGAAAGTTGCCTGTTGGTTTTCTGGCTTTTTATAAAACTTTCATTTGCTCACATTACACATTTTTTTTGGTACTGGGGTTGCACTCGGGCCTGGCCCTGCCAGGCAGGCCCTTGTGCTGCTGAGCTGTCTCCCAGCCCCATAAATGCATATTGTAACTTTTGGCCAAAGTAATGAATGTGTTCGTTAGCTCATGACAGATGTCTAGAAATTGGTCCTGAGGAACAGCATCTAACTCAAGCATTAACACGCTCTGCTGGCGAAATTTAGCTTCTTTATGTCTTCATTCCTCATAACGAGCAGGACATGAGGCTAAACAAGTAGCAGTGAACGAAAACGTCAAAGACAAAGTGCCTTTTCCAAAACACTTCAGAAATTGTTTTGACATAAACAAGAAGAGGTGCTGCCCATGCAGTGGCACATGCTTGTAATTTCAGCTTCCGAGAAGGCTGAGGCAGGGATGCAGTGTTCTGCTGCAGTGTTCTCTGGCACCCTGCTACTGGAGGGGGGGCCAGCAGCGAGAGCGCAGGGCGGGGCCGGCAGCCGAGGCACTGGGCACTGCAGAAGGGGAAGCGACAGGAGGGCAGGCAGGACCTCGAGGGCTAGCATGTGCTGTGGCCAGAACAGAGGTACCCAGGATGACATTTTTATTTAACACAGATTGCTCAGATTTAGACAGAACCGCATTCCTTAGTTGAACTTTTCATAATAAATGAAAATATAAAGAATGAGATGAGGAAAGGCCTGTGTGCACTTGATGAAGGCAGATTTCTACATTAGTTTAGCCTCCATGGACACCCACTGCCAACCAACACAAAGGTCTCATTAACTTGGAGTGCTGTGGCGTGTTTCTAGCAGAAGCACCATAACACTGTCTTCTTCCCTGGGCATATCCTTTAGGAAAAAACAAACTCAGTTGCTCCTACTACACTGTCACAGCACAGAACAATCCTGCAACCAGATGAGGGTGGAGTTTTGTTCCACACACCAAGTAATTGTCTAGTGATGCCAACTTGGTACCTCAGAGTTTAATTTTGGCCCTGCTCCACCTGGTGACCCATTTGGAGTTAGTGTCAGGTCTCAGAAGTGAAGGACTCCTCCCCAGCTGAGCACCCGAGCCGAGCACCCTGCCTCAGGTGCTATCGGGCCACTGGTGCTGCTTATGGAATATGACCCATAGTCCTACTCCGGGTTAAATTGCTAGGACAGCTCTCACAACTTAAGGAAATACATTTATTGGTTTATTAAAAGTATTATAAAGGGCACATTAAAAGTGAAATAGGATAAGATGAGGGGGCTACAGGGTGCAGCTCCATGTGCTACCCTGCCAGCAGGAAGCTCATGGGGTCTTGTTAAGGACTTTTCCTTGAGCCTCCTTTCTGGTCTGCCTCTTCCCTGAGGTTGGTAGTGGGGTGAATGCTCCAAGCCTGGACTCTCTTGTCTTTCTCATAAGTGGTCCCATTCTAAGGATATCTAGTCTAGACCCTGTCATCTCATTAGCGTAAATCCAGATGTCATCTACATGGACTCAGTCATTCCTAAAGGGAAATTCCAAGGCGTTAGGCACCTTGTGGGGGGAGAGGAGAGGGAGGTGGGACAAACACCAAGTATATTACCTACTACACCCCTTTTAAACACTAATGTTCCACAAAATTATGAATATCAGTTTAAGACTTTAAAGATGTTAAAAACTTACTGGTACATGATGTTAATGCATCTTAATTCTTCAAGAGTCCCATTCCTCTCTCCTTCCACCTCCCTCCACCTCTTGGTTCTCTTATTTGCAAAATGTCTGTCTCCTGTCTCCTGTTGCCTTTTATTCTGTTCTGCAATGTATTTATACTTTAGGATTCTCATATAAGAGAAGCCATGTGTTTCTGCCTAGATGCTCCCCAAAGCCTCATGTCATGGACGCAGCTTTTTTCCAAGGTGTCTGGATCTAGAGTGTGTGACTGATTTGTGGTACAGTGCTAGGATTAAGGGGGCGTGATTACTAAATCCGCCCACTGATTGGTTTGGCAGTGCACTAATCCTGGTTTTGCAGTTACAATATAAGGGATATAGGTTTTTGTTGTTGTTGTTGTTGTTGGCCTTGCCTGCCTTGACCTTCTGCCTGCCGTAACCTGTTCCTCATCTTCCATCCCATCCTGCCTTGGAGCCAGCCAGCTATGCCCTGAAACTACAAACTGTGAGCCAAATATACTTTTCCCCCTTTAACTTTGGATGTCAAGTATTTTGTCTCAGCAATGAGAGGGAAGTAAGTAAGACAGCATGCAATACAGTGTAAGTGTATATATCTGATCTACTTCACATTATGGCTTCAAGGTGCAAATGAAAGAAGAGATTTATTTTGGCTAATAGTTTCTAGAGATTTTGTTCCTGTTGCAGTCAGAATTCACAAGAGAATAGATTTAATGTAGGACACGTAACTTACGGAATTATTTTATAGTATTGACTCAAGTCAAATTCAGAAGAGTTCAAGGAGATGTGGCCACACGGTAGAGATCCAAGAATCCAGCTGAGGGCCTGAATCTCAGAGCAGTATCCTGCAGGAGTCGGACTGAAGACCTAGTGCCCATGGCATTGTCCTCTGTGAGTGTGGCTGGAGCCCTAGAGCCCACAACAATGTTTCATGCATGTCAGTGTCAAGGGTCTGTCAGCACAGGGAAGGCCTAAAAGTCAGCGGTGAAAGCTAGAAATCCTGCACCAGCAGGATGAAGGATCTGGCCGGCACCGTGAGGGATCTGCACTGGAGCAATCAAGCGACACTCAGGGTAGGACCAGAGTTCCCCCAAAGAGACCAGCGTCATCGCAGCGACAGAACCCGAGGATGAGCGCAGCTGACATGATACAGGAGGCCCAGCTCGGCCCGACCACACTGAACTGCACGATAGCCTGCAGACACACTTTATTTGCTGGGCTGTTTCAAGGTCTTTCTACCCTTGACTGACTAGCCCAGTCAAGGACATGCTTGATTATGCTCTCTTGCGGGGCCCAACTCCCCGACCTTACCCCAGTATGATAAATGACCCCCTATATGATAAATGACCCCCTCTAACTAAAACCTGCAGAGAACTAATCTGTTGAACAATGCATGATAAACATAAGTAACCAAGTATAGAATAACCCTCTATCAGCTTTTGTACTTCCTGCTTGCAAATCATGTCGAAGTTGCTGCTGTAATTCTGGCTGCAGATTCCCACCTGACAGCATAATAAAGGGGCTGCTTTCTGAGCGCCTCAGTGGGGTGTCTTCTCCATTCTGCAACACTCCAAGGCTACCCTTTCTTCAATACAGGGAAATAAAATGAATTGAGCTGTCGTATCTGTTTATAGCTCTGAATCCCCAAGGACTAATTTGATTGTACACACACACACACACACACACACACACACACACACGTGCGTGCACTGATATACAGAGCCTGTCTTTGGTGGTAGAATTCTAAACAGGAAATAATGATCAACTTTTAGTAAAGTTTCTTTGGTGCCAGGTACCGTAGTTAGCTAAAAGCAAGCGCTCTTAATGACAAGCCCAAAGTCTGCACGCCATAGCGCACCTCCTAACTGCTACTGGACAGGGTGGCAAGGTTGGGCACTGGGAAAAGTGCGGTTTAGGCTGGGGTATTTTCACAGTGTGCACAGGATTGTCACCCCCCAGAACACAGCAGTGAGGAGAGATGAGAAAGGAGCAAAGGCAGCGTGTCCCGCCTCATGACAGTGCTCATACCTGGGCGGCCTCAGCTCACCGTTTTGAAGTGGTGAACATCCTAATTTGTAATGGACTAGTTAGGACATGCAGCAACTTCAATAGTCTAAAAAACTGGACTTCAGTAGCATGTTGTGTAGCCAGGTTTGTTTAGCTCCCTTTTGCATTAGATTAAGGCCAACCCTCCGGAAGGTAACCACCTCCCTTGGTGGATGTTGCATCGTTTTCTGATTCTTCCTAAACTTTTTTTCTCATCTGTAATATGGGGACAACCACCACTGCCTCTCTGGGGTGTTTCACGGTTTACATCGCATTTAAAATTCTCAACCTTCTATGCGCAGGGATTTACTAAAGGTTAGTTACTGGGCCTGGAGAAACAAAGTAAAAAAAGATCCAAATGTAGGGTACACAACAGGAAGTCGAGATTATAACTAAAACATCAGATTTTAAAACCATCTCAACATCGTTTTCCCTGGGTTGGGGACTCACCGGTCCCCTCTCCCAGTCTCCGCAGGCTCCGGCTGGGGAACCCCGGAAGGCGGGGTCGCGGTTGCCAAGGTGACGCAGGGCCGCAGGCCGGAGCGTGATCTGCCCCGCCCCATCACGCCGTCACGCGCTCCCGCGCTTCCCCACCTTCGGATTCGCGGCGGCGCCCATCACTGGCTGGACTCCCAAGTCTCACTATCCTCACTCCATTCGCCGAGCCAATGGCTGTGACCACGAGGGATTCGTTGTCGTGAGTCACTTGCTGACGGCAGTGACACCGTCCAATCACCGCTCCAAGGAGGTTGGGCGGGAACCTTTGCAGACCAATGACGGCAGGAGGGTGGGCTCCGCCCTTCAGGCTCCGCCCCCAGCCCGGAGAGGTGCGTTCCGAGGCCGCCCGGGTTCCAGGCGGAGACCCGCTGGCCCGGCCCGCAGTCGGCTCGAGGCGCCGCAGGTGAGCGAACGGGAGGGCGGCTGGCGCGCAAGGAAGGCGGAGCGGGCGGGCTCCGGGCGGGGACGGGGCAGGGTGGGCCGTCGGGGAGCAGGAGAAAGCACCCGGGCTCGGGGAGAAAGGAACGCGAGCGCGGTGCCGCCTGTCATCCCAGCACTCGGGCCTGAGGCAGGAGGACCGCCGCGGGTTCGAGGCTGCATAGCGAGACGCTGGTTCGAGAAAAAGAAAAAGTCCGGTAAGAATGCGGGAAGCGAGGCCGCGCATTGCTGAGGAATCTGGTCTTTATCAGTGAGAGAGTGCCTGCCCCTTGGGC